CACAAGTACATCTGCTCCACTATGTTCATAGCAGCTTTATTCACAAAAGCTGTTAACTGGAAACAATCAATATATCCCTCAACTGAAGATGGATACAGAAAATGTGGTTCATTTACATAATGTAATACTCTTCAGCTATAAAAAGGCATCATACATTTTTGAGGCAAATCCAGGCTTAGATTTTTCTCAACTTACTTTAATAAGAATTCTCAGACTCTTTAACCTCCCTTCTAGCCTGCCACTCATCAGAGATAGTGGAACAAAAAGGTTAATATGGAAAAATGGGATGTAGACCTGTATATAAATAGTTATATGAGGCAATTCCTATCTTCATTGCCAGGATATCAGCAGTTCAGTTCACACAAAACAGCAACTGTAGCTTTATCCGTTCACAAACACTGCTCATTTAACAACATCAATAAAATCCAGAAGAAACCTTGAGTCTCTTCCAATTGGCCTGACTCCTTGGAGAGAGCAAGAAGCATCAGAACAGCACCAGAAGTTCTTTGTTGTGTTTCTCTCTACAAAGTCATGACAAATGATGACCAGTGAAGAAGGCAAGGTGAACCAGTGCCACAGCATTGCCAGCAAAGACCAGTGTCAGAAAAGTTCAACAAAGACTAGCAAAGAATGGCTAGGTGAACCAATGCCACAACATCATTCACTGTCTGTTGGGTTATACTTAGATCCTTTCCAAACATCACATGTACTCTCAAGCATCTGCTGTACCAAAACATCACAAGCCCCCTTTTCAGGCAGCTTCCAGAAAAATATCCTCCTATGTGTCTGCTTCAGCAAAACATCCTTTCATAAGATAGTTTCCAGAAAAACATCATATGAGACCACTACAAAGAAACTAGAAAGTTCTATGCTAATGGATAGAACTAGAAAATATCCTGAGTAAGGTAATTCAGACCCTAAAAGACATAAATAGTATGTCCCCACTGATAAGTGGATAGTAGCCATAAAATACAGGATACCCATGGTATAGCTCATGGACCCAAAGAAGTTAAAAAAGAAGGAAGGCCCAAGCCGGGATGCTTGAATATCACTTGGGGTATAAAACAGTCTTAGGAGGCAAAGGGAGGAAAGAACTGAGTGAGAGAGGGGGAGAGAAAGGGAATAGGGGTCAGAGTCAGATGTGTGGAAAGACAGAAGAGAGGGCCAAAGGGCTAGTAGAATGAATGCAAATCTGTTGCTGTCAGGGGTGGTGTTGTGTGTGGGAAATCTATAGGAAGTCTTAGAGACCAGAGACGGGGGAGGCTCTCAAAAGGCAATGTGTAACCACTAGCATCAGGATGGTGTGAGCAGCTCTCATCTCAAGAAAGTGTCTGTGGTCCTGTTCAGGGGTAAAAAAATATGCTGCAGTCTTTGGTGGTGTTTGCAGGAGAAGCACTGTGGAGACACTGCTCTAGACGTTGTTGCTGATGAATACGCTATCAAAAGCAAACCATAATAAGAACATGGCTACAATGAAACC